CGGATGGTGTGATTAGAAGATGTGTCCCGGAAGGTGAACAATTGAGCATATTGGAGGCTTGTCACTCCTCCCCCTATGGTGGCCATCATGGAGGGGTGAGGACGGCTTCAAAGGTCTTGAGTTGCGGTTTCTATTGGCCGACTTTATTTAAGGATGCTAGTGATTTGGTAAAGAGATGTGATGCATGCCAAAGAGCCGGCGGAATTTCAAAAAGGGATGAGATGCCTCTCAATACGATTCTCGAGGTGGATATTTTTGATGTTTGGGGCATCGATTTCATGGATCCTTTCGTGAGCTCTTGTAGGAACACTTATATTCTCGTGGCGGTGGACTATGTCTCAAAGTGGGTTGAAGTCGTGGCTTTACCCAACAATGAAGCCCGGAGTGTTGTGGCATTCTTGAAAAAGAGTATCTTCACAAGGTTTGGCACCCCTCGTGCTATCATTAGTGATGGGGGGTCTCACTTTTGCAACAAGGCTTTCGACTCATTGCTTGCCAAGTATGGAGTAAATCACAAAGTGACCACCCCCTATCATCCTCAAGCTAGTGGTCAAGTGGAAGTCTCCAACCGAGAAATAAAGAGTATCTTGTCCAAGACGGTCAATGCTAATAGGACCGATTGGTCGAAAAAGTTGGATGATGCTTTATGGGCTTACCGGACGGCTTACAAGACCCCAATTGGTATGTCCCCGTACCGGTTGGTGTTTCGGAAAGCTTGCCATCTTCCGGTCGAATTGGAGCACAAAGCTATGTGGGCCTTGAGAAAGTTGAACTTGGAATGGGATGTTGCCGCGAATCTCCGTGTTGAACAACTTAATGAGCTTGATGAGTTTAGATTTCATGCCTACTCCGGCTCGTCCTTGTATAAGGACAAGATGAAGTATCTTCACGACAAATATGCTCGGGGAAAGGAATTCAAAGTTGGTGATATGGTTCTTCTTTTCAACTCCCGGTTACGTCTGTTTCCGGGAAAGCTCAAGTCAAAGTGGAGTGGGCCATTTGAAGTTGTGTTCGTGACCCCATTTGGTGCTCTTGATCTAAGAAACAAGAATGGTGAAATATTCAGAGTCAATGGACATCGTGTCAAGCATTATCTTGGGAAGATTGATGATAGCCACGTGGTGGCTATGGTTCATTTCAAATGATGTGTTGGTAACCCGCGTCGTTCTGCGACGTTAAATCAGGCGCTTCTTGGGATGCAACCCATGTCTTTTTCTTTCTCTTTGATTTTCTTTGTAGTTTAGGATTTTTGAGCTAATTTTTTTTTGACAAAAATTTGCTTTATATTTCATCAAAAAAAGTCATTACATATCCAGATTAATGATGACCATTAATCTCTAATAACTATTTACAAGGTAGTTCTGTCTATGCATGTACTACTGAAAACTAGTAACTAAGGCATTTTATTTACAAGTTCCAACCCTTTTTTCCACTTAATCTTTTTCCTTCATTGGATGTGTATATGCATTGCCACTTCTCTACAAACTTCATCAATGTTGTATCTTCCTTTGTTGAACCGCATTGAATTTCTCTCACGCCAGATACAGTACATGACCATTGCAAAAGATGCTACAGTCATTTCTGCCTTATATTCTTTCTTCTTGGCTATGTTGTTCATCCAGTTCAGTTCTTGGTTCCAGTCACCTATCTGCCTTGTATGTCCCAGCCATTTCAGTATCCTTTCCCACAGCTCTCTGGTATTTTGACAGCCAAAGTATAGATGTTCAAAAGTTTCCTCAGCCTTTCCACAAAAAATACACTCTGCTTGCACTTGGATGCCAAATTTAATGAGTCTATCCACAGTGGCTATCCTTTGATTAATGGCTAGCCACATGTGGAACTTGAATCTGGGATGTATCTGGGAGTGCATGTGAATACTCTTCCATTCAACCTTATTGAATTGTGGTTGCATCTGGATATATGCCTTGTGGATTTGGAATTTACCTTGCTTCACAAAGTTCTCCAGAATGACTGTAATCCTCTGTTGATCTGTCCTTATTTTCATAACTTCATCTCTTGCATCCATGATCTTTCTGACCACCCATGCTGCTGCTTTGGGTGTAGGAGTCTCTTCAATCTGTTTTCTCTTTATGAAGTAGGTGTGTGCCCACTTAATCCATAAAGAATCCTTCTTCATAGCAAGTGCCCATAGGTGTTTTAAGACTGCTGCCTTGTTCCATATCCTCATGTTCATCACATTCAATCCACCTGCTGACTTAGGTTGACATATTTTATCCCATGCAATTAGTGCTTTCCTGGAGAATTCATTTGAACCAGTCCACAAAAAGGTCCTGCATAGAGTCTCTATCATCTTCATAATTTTCTTTGGGATTAAGAATATTTGGGCCCAGTAAGTTTGAACTCCAAATAGGACTGATTTGATAAGTTGAACTCTTCCTGAGTAGGAAAGCATCCTTGCTGACCAGCATCTGATTCTCTCTGTTATCTTCTCAACTAATGGCAGGCATTGGTGTATGTTGAGCTTTCTTGCAGACAGTGGTACTCCCAGGTATTTGAATGGTATACTGCCCTTTGCATATCCAGTAAGCTGTATCAGTTCTTCTTTGGTATGTTGTGAGACTCCTGCAATATAAATTGAACTCTTTTCAGCACTAGCTTGCAATCCTGATGCTTTTGAGAACTTGTTGAAAATGTTCTGCAATGCAGTAATTGATTTTTTGTCACCCTTGCAAAACATTAAGAGATCATCAGCAAAGCAAATGTGTGTCACTCCCAGCTTCTTGCATTTTGGGTGGTATCTGAATTCCTTCTGCTTAGCTAGTGTGCTCATCTCCCTCTGCAAATACTCCATAGCAATCACAAACAGATAAGGAGACATTGGATCTCCTTGTCTGAGGCCTCTCTTAGCAGGGAATGGCTTAGTAAGTCCTCCATTGAGTGTTAAGGAATAAGATACTGTTGTCACACACTCCATGATCCACCCTATAAACTTCTGTGGAAACCCCAAATCTGTGAGCATGTACCTTAAAAAATGCCAATCCAGAGAATCATAAGCCTTTTTTAAATCCACCTTAAGAGTACATCTTGGTGATAGACCTTTTCTGTTATATCCATTAAACAGTTCATGGCTAAACAGAATATTATCCACAATACTCCTCCCTTCTATGAATGCAGATTGTGTTTGCCCAATTAAGCCCTCAATCACCCTCTTCATCCTTTTAGTCATTATTTTAGCAATGATCTTATAAACTGTGGTGCAACAAGCTATAGGTCTGTAATCCTTTACAGTTGTTGGATTTGTTCCTTTAGGTATCAATGTTATTGCTGTACAATTCCAAGCTTTCTTCATCTTGCTTGTTTGAAAGAAAAACCTCACAGCTTCATAGACCTCCTGTTTCACTTCATTCCAGTGCATTTTGAAGAACTCTACTGGAAAACCATCCACTCCAGGTGCTTTGTCCCTTGGCATGTCTTTTACTGCTTCATCAACTTCCTCATAAGTGACCTCCTGAATTAACTCCTGTTGCTGCTGCAATGATAGACACACACCTGCTTTAATAATCTCTGTATTAGGACATGGTTTGATCCCAGTATCAGTCCCCATTAGTTGCTTGAAAAAGGTGACAAATTCTCTTTCCACTTCTTTAGGTTCTGTGACTCTAGATCCCCCTGCATTATAAACAGATGTTATTGCATTCCTACTTGCTCTCATCTTCAGTTGGGCATAGAAATATTTGGAATTTGAATCTCCATAATCTATCCAGTTTACTCTTGACTTTTGCCTCAGAATTCTTTCTTCTATTGTACTCCCTTTCTCTATGTCCTGAAGTATCTGCTTTTCTTCCTCTATCATTTCTTGATTAAGGGGACTAATTTTCAGATTGTTCTGCACATACCCTAATTGCTGCCTGTGATAGTTCAATCTTTTCTCATAACTTGCCATCTCCTTATTCAATCCCTTTGTTGGAGCCTTCAATTGCTGCAGTTTCTGCCATATACTGTCCATAGGATCACACTCTTTCTTCTGCCTCCATATGTTTTCTAGCATGGGTTTAAACTCATTATGCTCCATTGTCACCATGTACATCTTGAATGGTTTGGGATATAGATTCTTCCTCTTCCAGATTTGGATCACTATAGGAGAATGATCTGATACTCCTAGTTCTAAACAAACAGCATCCACATGTCCATAGTTTCTGATCCACTCAAAGTTGCCAAAGACCCAATCAATTTTGCTATACGCTCTATCATCTGCATGTTGTTTATTGCACCAGGTATAAAAGCAGCCTTTTGTGTTCAATGTGGTCAATTGGATTGAATCAACACACTCCTTGAACTCTTTATCTCATTCATGGTGACTGGAAGTCCCAACCTATCCTCAGTGCTTAGAACACTATTAAAGTCCCCACTTATAAGCCATGGGGTTTGAATCTGGCTTCCCATCATTTGCAATTCACTCCATAAGCTTAGTCTCTCCTGTTGCTTGTTTCTAGCATATACTATTGTTAACATAATCTGATTCCCAGACAATGCATCCTTCACTTCACAATGTATACATTGCTCATGAACTTGGACAACATTTAGTGCTACATTTGCCTTCCACATCAACAAGATTCTGCCATTTTCTGCTTTTGTATAGTTGCAGCAATAACCCCAGTCTCTTACTACTCTGTACAGTATTGTTTTTGCCTTTTTCTCTTTTACTCTTGTTTCTAAACATCCTAATACATCTACCTTATTCTTCTGCAAAAAGATTTTCAACTCTTTTTGCTTGTGGGGCTTGTTTAGCCCCCTTATATTTCATGTGCTAATGATCATGAGGGGTGTTGTATAGTACCAGGAGCCAGACCCCCTCCCTGTGCAACTGTTTGGCTCAATTCACATAATACCTGAAATCTATTTGGATTGCTTCCTTCAGTATGACAGTGCTGCTTGTCTAGTGATTGGCGTTGTTCCCCTTTTCCTGCAGCATTTTGTACCTTCTTGCCTTTCTGGTTTGCTTTACCTTCATGTAACTCTTCCTCATCTCCTGTGAGGTTCTACACTCCCTTTGTTTCTTCCTGCTTCTCTTCCTTCTCTTGTTGTTCTTTAGGTTTCCATTCCTGGATGATTCTTCTTCTTCTGCCCTTATTTCTTCTCTTAGGAATTTGAAATTCTTCAGTTTCCTCAGGCTTGTTTGACTTCCAGCATTCAAAGACATCATGCCCAAAGTGTAAACATTCAGTACATAACCTAGGTTTCCATTCATACACAATTTCCTGCTGTTTAACACTCGTAGGAGTTATAATTTCAACACTCTCCACCAGTGGTTTTGTTATATCGACTTTCACTAGAACTCGTGCATAAGAGATTTTCCCTAACTCAGCAGTGTATTTATCAGTGTACATTGGAATCCCTACACGACTTGCTACCTTGCTTAGTGCATCTGCTGTCCAATATCCTACTGATAGGCTAGGAATTTGGATCCAAAGTGGAATTTTAGTGATACACTTAGGGTCAAATTGAAAGTCTCTCTCCCAGTTTTGCAACATCAATGGTTTATTATGATAATTGTAAGGTCATGCTTGCATTACTGCTTCTTTGTCCTTTACATTTGAAAATCGAAACACATAGTATCCTTCATGATGATATAGAATTTGGGGTTTATCTACAAAATCCCACACTGATTCTACATAGTTCACCATGGATTTCTCATATGGTGTATCCCCCAAAACATATCCAATTAACGCATTATCCCAATATTCCTTAAGCTCATTTACATCTTCTTCCTCTATTTGTATAATCACCTTACCTTCTCTGCGGCTAGGTGGTACATATTCCAGCTGCATCCCCATTTGAGAATACCTGTTCTGCTTCCTCGCCTCCTTTTCATGTACTTCTGCATCAGCTTCCTTGACCTTTGACTCCAGATCTGGCTTTGAGATTTGCTTTGATGACCCAGCTTCTGAGAATTGGAGTCGCTTTGGACTCGTTGGTAGCCGCTCTTTCCCTTTCTGAACACAGATCTCTGTGTTCTCAGCATTACTGTTCCATTGCGTACTATTCATCAGCTCATTTTCACTTAGCTCCTCTTCTTCTCGAATTGGTTGAAACCCAGCTGGTTAGAAACTTCCAAAGGTTAACGGAGTTATAGTTTGCAATCTAGAGTTCACCGGCGTGGTAACGTCGACCACCGGTGCTGCTTGCTTGCGTCTCCTAGCCATCAAAGGTGCACGTTAGCCTGCCTTGGCTTATCGTGCGCCGAGAGCTAATTGGTTGTGAGATGTTGCAGGAATTGTGTTGATGCAGTGCAAAAACAAGTTGGAACAAATTGAACAGCCTCTGAAGTTTGCCAGTGCGGCCGCGGTGCACTTTGTGCGGTCTGCACTGGCAGGGTCTAAAGTTGGTGCTCTCTAAAGTTACTCACCGCGGCCGCATTCCCTTTAGTGCGGTCCGCAGTGGTCCTCCGCAGCCGCGGTCTGTTTTTTGCGGTCCGCGGAGGCTGCCTACTGAAACTTCACTTGAACAAATCCAGCGCGGTCCGCGGTCGCGTTTGTGCGGCCGCGCTGGTAGGTGAGTATGGGTCCCACGGTTTGTCTATAAATAGACCCCAAGGGTCACCTTTTACCCTTTTCGACCTCTAAACTCTCAGAGCCTAAAAATAACTGTTTATTCTTTACTGAGTCCGTGATTCTTGCTTAAGATTGTTTAAATTGCACTTCATCTTTACATCTGGTAACGTTTCACTCATCTCTTGTTCATTTAGTGATTATTTTTTGTTTTATTTTCTTACATTTAGCCCATAACTTCTGTTTCTTCCCATTTTTCTTTATTTTGTTAGTTTAGATTAGTTTTCATGTTAGCTCTGTTGATACCCAATTTTTCCCTAGTAATTTTATACTCAAAATACTTCCAAAATAGCATATATGTGCATATATAAGCACACCCAAGAGTTCTGGCATTTTAAATGATTTTTAAACCAATTCATTGCCTATTTTAATACAACAAAATCCAATAATTAGTCCCAAAATTATTATTTTGGCAAATAATTCATTTTTATTCTTACATTTGCACCAAAATATAATTAAGGTAATTTTTGCATATTTTTACAAATTTATTTGGTATTTTTAAAGCTAAATTGCATATAATTGCAATTATAGCCTGTTTTGTGATTAATAGCATTTTATAATTACAAAATTAGTTCCAGTTTTTTAAGTTAATATTTATGTAATATTTGTTTACTCAGTATTTTTAATTTATTTTTAAAACCATCATTGCTATTTTTATAAAATAAAACGGGGGAAAAGTGGCTATTTAAAATCTGGCCTCAATTTCATTTCAATTACAGCCCAATTTGCACCCCAATATCAACCCAATCCCAACCCCCAAATCAATTTAAACTCGATTACTTGATCCACTCGCCCAAACCCGCCCGTTTTCTTTTTAAAATCTGAGCCATTGATCATTTTGATCAACGACCCAGATCTCTTCTTTCCTTTTTAATTCCAAACGACCCCTAAACCTTACCCCATTCTTTCAGGAGCGCCGCCTCTGACTCCTCTCTTCTCTCAAACTCTCTCGAAACCCTAATCGCTCTCTACCACCTCCAACCCAAATCCACCGGAATCTATGGCTGTTCTAACCATGGACGACCTACTCTCACCCCCTACTGCTCTCACGTGCTTGATACCTGAAGCTTCGAGGCCAGACCTCGAAGGTCCTCGCTCAGACCTTCATCGATTCGAAGTTTCCAGCCATCTCCGGCCTTGCTCCGGCGTGTCTTAGCCTTCTGAGACTGATTCCGACCTTATCGACTCCAGATTTGATCTTGTCTCTTCCAAGCCTTTCTCGTTTCTAGGGTTCTCAGAAACCCTAGCCTATTCGAGGTTCTTTTTCGTTTATTTGTTCGGATCTGTGCTCGATCTGTGCTATATGTGATGTTTTAAACGTTTTTTCCCCGGTTTTCCTTTTTAAAATCTTTTGATTTCAAACTAGGGTTTCTGAGTCTGTTTGTTAATATTTTGTTCGATTCATTTGTTTATGATCTCTAAGTTTGATTGGTGTTGAAAACCTAATTTTTGGAGATTTGTTTGAGTTTCTGAGTCTATCTGTTTGATTTACTTTGTTTGCTCCTGATTAGTGTCGAAAACCCTAATTTTGAGGGTTTATTCGAGCTTCTGAGACTGTTTGTTTGTTCTACTTGTTTATCGCCTCTAAACTCAATTGATTTCGAAAAACCCTAGTTTCTTCGGGGTTTACTCAAGTTCCTGAAGTTTACTTGTGCGATTCTCCTATTTGAAATTGTTCTACTTTATTTGAAGGTTTCAGCATCTCTTTGTGTGATTCTTTTGATTCTGCTTTCTTACTATCTGTCAAACTCGATTATGTTTTCGGAAAGGTTTTCACCTAACCTTTTGCATGCTTCTGATCTTTTCTCTCTTACTAAGCCAACGAAATTTGACCTACACGACTGTCATGCTATTACTGTATGCTACCTCTCCTTGCCATAGCTTGGACTCACATGTCTATTACTTGTGCACCTCATTTATATACTGAGTCCCTTCTGTGACTGATTTCCAAATTCGTGATTGATTTTCAAAACTTTTCCTTGTGCAATTCTGATTTTTTACTCGCCCGTTAAGGGTTAATTGATTCTCCTTCTTTGTTTGGCCTTACCAGATCCTTTCCAAAATAAGTACACTCCTGTATTTAGACTTAATCCCCTACTATATCGTTTTACCGCTCCTTTTATGGCAACAATCATTCTACTTACAAATTGATTTTTTTTCCTTATATTAATCTTGTTAAGTGCCCGTTGAGCAGTAATCCCTTGATTAAAGGGAAAACCTGTGTTAATTGATTTTGACTGTGATTATTTCCATGTTTGTGTTAAAACTGTATTTGTTACCTTATTTTCTACTCGTTTTCAAAACTATAAATACCTGTACTTCTTCCCTTTCAAGGGAGTGGGGGAACATGAACAAGTCATCACTTCTTCTCTCAAAATACACTCAGATTTGCTTTAAAAAAACATTCGAGTTCTCTGTACTCATAAGCTTAAGGTTCTTTTGATTGTGGCTTGGTTTGAAAGTATCCTGCTTCTCTTTGCTTGCTTCTTCTGCAACTGGTATGTTACCTTTGTTTAATTTCTGCCACTCCCCTATGTGTTTATTCTCCAGTTCATTCTTTATTGGGTTTACTGCTTCCATAATGTAAATTTTGCAAGTTGGTTTGTCTCTTTGCTATGCTCCTACATGAATCCCTATCCCCCAATCCCTTTGTATTTTGAGTTATGGTTCAGAAACATGACAACACTTGACATTGTTGTTCATGTATATGGACTGGACTCCCTGAGTCCTAAACTCTTTCAATTCCCATTCCCCTTTCCCCTTTATATGTATCTTGAGCTTAAGACCTTGGTCTGGCAGTGTCCTAATCACTGTCTAGACCATAGTCTGACCTTCAATAGGTCTGTGCTCTTATTTGCTGGCTGAACAGGCTTGGTCAGGGGTGTTCTAGCCTACCTCATGGTTAGGTATGACCACCAGCCTGCCTTGGCATTCCTCCTCCCCCTCTATTGCACTTGCACTCATTCTTAGAATTTAAGTTCTGCCCCTCTCTTGTGAGCCTTGCTTTGGGACCCCTAAGCTCCCTCTGAACTTGGACACCTGAGGGTTGGCTCTTCCACACTGCACTATAACTCATTCTGATTAATATCTTGGGTGTAAGCACTGCCTGGGGTTCCTGAAACTCCTTGGATCTCTGAAACACCCTAGATAAGAGAAGGCTTTGGAAATCTTGATCTCGGAAGTGGCTCAATCTCATATTATTAGACACTAAGTCTGAATTAGCCTGCTCGGATGTAGCTGATAGCTTCTGATGTACTTTTAATTTTAGTTTTGTTCTACTGGTCTGTAATAAATTGTATAAACTCATGGGGATTTAGTGAAAAAGGGAGGGGTTACTTTTATGCACAAAGGGTAGAAAATATGCCTATAGGATTTTGTCTTTAATTTGTGCAATTTCATACGTAGAAAGCATGTCTATAGGATTTAACTTCTGAATTCTGCAACTACGCATGTAGATACCATGCCTATAGGGGTTTGCATCTCTGCATATAATAGCATCATTAATCAAACAGATAGGTTTAATAATAAAATGGCATATGTAGATATCTTGGTTTACAAGGCTTCCATTAGTATTTAAAAAGGTATAACGTATAGAAAGCATGCCTATAGGGATTTCGAAACCAAAAATTGTCTCACTTATTCAAAACAGTGTTGATTTTACTAAAACAAACGACTTTTCTTTCTAAACCTACTCGCATGAACTCTGGTAAACATTTCCCAATCGATCTGCATCCTGGAACTCGTTTAGTTGTTAAACCACGTACCCTTTTTCTGAAACTTTTTGTTACTCTAAAATTTTCTTTTAAAATCAGCTTGTCTTTTAAAATCAGTAGTTCTATCCAACACATAAACAAAAAAGGTTAACTAATCAACTGGATCAGTCTTAGACAACTGCATTCGAGTAAGCCTAATGTAGACTTCCTGTCCACAAATATGTGTTGAACCAGTCCGCTCATCGCTTTAATTTAATTTAAGACCAAACCAGTACGTGCAAGACATGCTAAACTCTATGGCTTTATCTGATTTTAGGAGGCTTATGTGAGCCCTACTTGCTTATTTGCTTTCCCCTTTACTTGCATTATGTGTTTTGATTGACGCCTTAGTATTTTGTCCTTTGAAAACTCTCCAAAAGGCCCCAAACCCCTCTCCCATTAGGACTAGTTAGTCCAGATGCCTCCAGGATTGATAAGATTGGGACGGGTACTAGCATGTAATAAGTAACAAGACATTCCGCGCTTTAATACCTTAATGGGGTGGGAAGGGTAGATACGGATATGATGATCACGCGATAACACCACGTGTATAAACGGTTACCGGGTGTTGTGCGGGGTGATCCATATTATTTATAAACATAGGACCCCCTCTCCCCTTTATCTTTTTACTTGTTTATTTCGAAAACTGCTTTTTCTCAAATTTCAGCTTCTTTAACTGCTACTTCC